TGCATGAGGAGTTTGTTGAGACAGTAATGTAGCTGTGACATTTTGCCAATTCTTAAATGCTTCTACGTTATGCTGAAAGTCAGATTCCTGGTAAAGTTTTGCTTTAGAGTCAGGCTTAAGTAAACTTGCACAGCACAAAAAAAAAATAAATAATTGCACCAAAGGTACTGAAAATATTTGAACAGTAATCTGTACATTTTTGCTCATTTGGAATTTTTTTTGCATTCATTTATTTCCCTTTATGAAATGAATTTCTGGTGTTGTAAGAACTTAGGTGAGTGTAAATCTCTTCCAAAATTATTAGTTACTTTAGAAGGAAACATTTTGTAATTTCCACTTGCTTCCATCAATGAAATTTAGAATAACTCAGAGCAGTTTTGGTGCACCAGACATGCAGTGTGTGTATGTTCTACAAGAGATCCAAGAGCTCCCTGTTCGCGAGGCTGTTGAGAAGTGGCATCCAACATTCAGTGCTCAGGTATGTTAGTAAGAAGTACTGTAGTCCTATGAGGGCAAATGTGTGGATTTTTAAACATTTTGCCATAATTGCACAATTTTGCATTTTTACTTGATGTCATGTTATGTTTCTTAAAATAAACCTATTGTTGAAATACAGTGGAGTTCAACTGTTTTTGTGACAAATCTGTGTGCATTTTAGTAAATTTCTGAAAATTAATCCAATGTATTTTTGATGTTTGTTCGGTTCTTCTATTTCTGCACTTGTGCCTCACCTGTGTGTAATGTCCTTTTGTTTTTTTTAAGGTGGAAGATGCTTTGTTCATTTGTCTCATTCCTTGTGGCTGTTCAGGTGTAACTTCTCATTTGTTTACACACATGCAGCACGGTCTTTCCCTTCCCTTTCTCCGTGCCTTTGCCTGCAGCTGGCATCCCAGCAGGAATGTCAAGTGGGGCTTTCCAGCCTGAGAAGGCTGTTTATTGGAAAACCCCAACCCCTTCACACTGAATTTCCCAGCACCCTGAGAGAGCTGAGGGAGCCACAGGTTTGCAAATGATTATACTCGTAAGTGTCAATAAGGATTTTCCTTCTTTGGATACTAAAGTAAATTCCAATGTATTTTTTTGAAGAGGGAAGTAGCTGGGCCCTTGAGAGATTCTTTCCATCTGCACATTAGGGGTGGGGTTAGTTGCTGGGCATGTTTTTTCTTTCATACAGCCTTTTGGAAATGAGTATTTTGGAAGCATCTGCTGAAGGACAGGAACACACAAACTCCTGCACGCCCCCCAAAACAAAGTAGCATTACTTAAATGAAGTTGCCCACTGTGTTTGTGCCCCAAAGCTGGGCAGAGAATGCTCCAGGCAGGGGAGTATCTCACAGCTTGGCACTGGTGTGCAGCCAAGAGGTGGGGAAATAACCACCCAGCTGTTGCTTTCTCTTTATCTCTTTGCAGCATGCTCTCCCCTCTGGGCCTCTCAAAGATGGAAGAGTGAGACCAACAAAGCTGGAACCTCCCCCATCAGTATCTCCCTAAGGTCCCCGTGCTGCCTCACTGCTGATTTTTGTGTTTTACACAATTAACAATGCAAATATCCACTGTGAAAGGCAGGTATTAACTTCTATAAAGATTATGTGATCAAGTTACTTAACAAGTAGGAGAAGCAAAACCAACTGATATCTAGTGTCTCTCCAAGAGGAATTTCTGAAGTACCACAAAGGTATTTACCAGCTTTCCTTTTCAGAAGGTGCTGGTGGGGTCTCTTTGTTTTTAACCAACCAATAGGACACAATTCCTGTACAGACTCTACATCTTTGCAAGCTTTAGCCCTCTACAAAATGCAATTTAAAGCAGCCACCACCTGAGGAGTTGGGGGATGGTGATCAGAGTGAGAGCGATCGAGCACATGTACAAAATCCTGAATATTGTATTTCCCTATGGAAAAAGTGCTAAAAATCCCCACTTGGAGAACATTTGGCTGGGTTTGACTGTTTTTGAAGGATGAGGTGAATTCCTGCATATCACAGGAATTTTGAGTGAAGATTTGAGTGAAGAAGGCCTAGATCTGCCTGAAGAACAAAAGAGAAATAGGTAAAACATGATGCCCTCCTCTCTGTAGTACCTGAGTGATGGGGAGCCCTTCCCAGCATGGAAGGACATCTGTGTAAATTGATGCAAGTGTGTCACAGCTTTTTCCTCTGCCCTCCCTCCTTCTGTGGCTGTGAGCCAGGGCACAGCCTGGTCCCAAAGCTACTCCAGAGTAACAGGACTGGAGGTTGTGCCCAAATAACCTCAAGCTGCTGTCTGTTAACAGGTCAGCTCCACAATTTGCGCATGGTATGTGCGTATTTAGACCTTAAAGTGTCACTGAGTGCCAGCAACGTAACAATACCTGTAAAACATCAACCAAAATGGTACCAAATAGATCTATTTAAGGAATGCCCTCTGTGCTCCCGTGTCTCCTTAGATCTGCACATGAACTCTGCTTTGCAGCCCTTGCTGTCACACAGAAGTGGCAATGTCCAGCCCAAGTGTAAGAACTGTGAACTGTATGCTCACTTCATGACAGCTTTTGAGCCTTTTATTTAATAATACATATCTAATTTTTGATTATCTATAAACTCAGTTATGAAATTATTTTGAAGTCAAGATGGTATGTGACACATCAGTTGCAGAAAAAGATTTGCAGATAAATTCTGAATTACCTTAAACCCTTCCATTTTGATTCAGTTCATATTCCATCAGTAACAGATTTCTTTGTAGCTTCTGAGAGTCTCAGGGGCAGTAATATTTAGTGAATATCAAATTAACCTTCTCCAACAGCCAATAAATGAAGAGTTGAAATTGTCTTTACTCTGCAAATTTACATTTTATTTTTCTCAAGTAAAAGTTATACCACATTTTATATCAAAACTAATAAATGGAGAGGAAGTGTTAAGAAGAAAGAGCCATTGGATTAGTCATTCAAGTTTCAATTTTTCACAGGCCAAAGAAATAGAAAAGGAGAGTTTCTGCTGCTTTTGTCCATCTCAGCTGCAAGGGGCGTGTCCAAGATTTTCCAAAGTGATTTTGGAGAGCACTCTCAATGGTATGAATTGCTATTATGTCTGAAGTGCACTAGAAATGGTCACAGCCCAGTAACTATCAGCAAAAACATTTATAAATTAGGCAATTGCTGTTAACACAGAGATGGAAGGAGGGACAGTATCTAACAAAGGCAATTCCATATTTTGATTTGGTAAAGCACCAGTCTAAATTGGCTCAGTGCCAAGGGCACTGTTCAGTATCCACAAGCAAAATAGAAAGTACCTCTTTGGAAGTTTATTCTGAAAGTCTAAAGGAATTTCAACTCTTGCAATGCCATTTTTGTTTACAATAGAATTCTTCCAAGACCTTTAGGAATAAGTGGTTCCCGTGAACTCTTGGTCTGGTGTGGTTGCATTTTCCTCAGCAGGCAGCTCTGGGTGCCCTCCCTTGGGGAGGAGCACAGAGAACCACATGCACCTCCAACAATCTGTGATGAATCCCCACAGCACCTATAACTGCCTTTAAGGATTTACTCATTTCAGAAGACAGAAAAAACACCAGATGTCTTTCTGGCTGTAAAACATTTTTAGAGAGCATAACTGGTAGGAGCCATGACTGGTGAGGCAGAAAGAGCTGGGCCACAAGATGGATCAGCCCAAGGAACGTGTAATTGGAATTCTCTCCCTGACTCTGAACTAATGGTGGGTGCCTGAGGACACAAGCATGGAGCTGCCTGTCAACATTCCCCAAGTTCCAGCAATTTGCCCTCTGCAGTGCCAGAGGTGGCATCTCTGTGTTTAACAACCCTTGATAGATTTCTCCCCAGAATTTGTCTTGTTGTCTTTTGACCACTGGAGACTTTTTTATCAAGCTGTTACAACTACCTGGTAGAAAATCTTCACAAATGGAGATTGTTTGTCCTGTGTTGTGAGAAGAACATCTGAGCTGGCTGGGAGAGCACCATTTGCAGCATTTTGTGCTAATGCAAACTGGGAACTTGTGTGTGAGTTTGGGCATTTCTTGCAAGGAAGATATTTCTGCTGGGGCCCTATGGAGGAGTGTGGATGACTGCATGTGGCTACAGGGCAGGAAATACGGGTTACATGTGATGCTGACTGGCAAAGTTAACTTGGATGAATCATATTTCTTTCTCCATTTAATTTTCTACTTGGATTGGATGAAAACATTTCCCTGGCTCACATAAAATCAGGTTTTTTTAAATTTTTTTTTGTGCTTCAGTAGTGCATTGCAGCGTTGAGATTATAAACGCGGCAGGGGAATGTTCTAAATCCCCCAAATGGGGATTTGCAACATAAGTCTGGTGGAAACATTCCTACTGAAATTGGGTTATGTTAACCTTTACAAAGCATGGACTCATGTAGTGGACATTGCTTGTTTAATACTCCAAGTCAACTGCTTGGTTACTGTAAAACATTCAGGAATTTTCTGTATCTTTTCCCCTCACTCCAGGGTTACATTCACTTCTTGATAAGTGTTGCTGTGGCTTGTCAACTCCTTCATTCCTTGGGTGAAATCAATCTGACACAGGATTTTGGGAATCAAAAGAAGAAGTCAAGCAGGAGAACTTCAGGCAAAAGAAGAGGATGCCTGTACCAGGATGGGCAAAAACCTCCCTGTGCAAGTTTCCCTGGATGAGAGTGGGAGCAGAGCCTGCAAAAACACAGTGCAAGGCAAGAATAAGTTAATATGTACAAGGAAAAGCGATACCTGACAAATAATTTATCAACACTCACAGGGAGCTGAGACATGCCAGCATTCCAAGCACAGGGAATGGAGAGTTTGCCCTGGATTTTTTTCCAGGGCAGATGAAGGGTGACCAAGAGGAGTTAATGTGAGATACATTTGGGTGTTCAGGTGGTGTTCCAAGCTACAGGAAGGCTTTACCTCTGAGAGTAGAGCCTCTGATCTCAACCTTTGATCTCAGCTGTGTCTGGGGTGGGCCATGGGGTCAGCAGAGGGCTTTAAAAGCGAGCAGGTGGCTCCAGTGGGGGCAGGAGCCGGCATTCCCAAGGGATGGGAGCTGGAGCGGTGCCTGCCTCGGCCACACAGGGAGCAGCCCCTTGGACAGCGGTCAGTGAGTGTTTGTGTGTGCTGGCATGCCTGGGTTGAGGGAATCTTGGCCCCATGGAGTCCTTGGATCAGCAGGAGAAGCTTCATTAGATTCAGGTTTGATTTTTCATGGTGCTCTCATTTAGCAAAAAAACCCCAGCCCCAAACAAATAAAATGAGTGGTGTAGAAAAATAACTGTACAATGCAAGAGTAGTCCCCAGCTGATCTCGGTTACAGAATGAAGATTGTGATTGTATGTGGCAGTTCCAAAAGACAGTAGTTCAATAAATCAAGGAAAGAAGATGGTAAATATCAACTGGATTGAGATGTAAGGGCTTTGACTGTGAAAGAGGTCTGGAATTCCTTTATTTCCAAGTGGTTAGTGGCCTGACATTCTTGAAGAGGATTGAAGAATAGTCTTGAAAAGATCCAGAATACCTGTCTAAAGAATAAGTCTAAATAAATTAACAGGAATTAAGCAGGAAGCCTAAGGGGAGTGGTAAGTGGAGAAATGGCACATCCAGACTTTTAACTTCACAAAAAGGAAATAGGGGCAAAATGAGAGAGCTGACAAGTAGATCTGTGCCAGACAAAGACAACTCATGCTTTAAAACTATGAAGTTGTGGTTAAGAGGGTGGTAACAGAAGGGGTAATGCCCATGGGAGAATGATCCTGGGCCCTCCTTAGTGCTGATGTCTCACAAACCATGGGAGACTGGGACTGTATCACATCATTGCCTGATGATTGCTCAGGCTATTAAACCCACTAAAAATAATCCCAAATTTTATAATCCCAAAATTGTTTTCCCCTAAATCCTCTTCTGGAAGCCTTGTTTTACAGTCGAGGAAGTAAGAGTCATCTGGTGTGATTTTTATTTTTTTGACTGTACAGTACATTTTCATTTAACTTTGGTTCCTCTCTTTGGTTTTCTCTATTAATTTGCCTTGATATAGAAAAGCTGGACAATGATCTGATACCATAATCTGATTTTATGCTAATGTCTTCTCAATATATCTCTCATTAAACAAAAGATCTAATTAAATGTACAACTATATTCATCACGTCAGACTTCTAAAAGTGGTATAAAATTGGTTGTAGTTTTAGAATTGACAATAAAAAATAGCCTTTCTTTTTAATCCCATATAGAAAGTTCAGGCTCAACCTTCTTAAAGGACTGCCAAAAAAATTTGAATTTGAGGGGCTTGAGAATTTTGCATATCCTAATTTTGGTAGATTGTGAACACCAAAAATAATGTTAAATAAGGAAATGTGTCCTCACTCTAACCACCCCTTAATCAGTTTTATTTTGCCTAATTTCAGAACCACTAGTATATGTCAGTAGTTTTGGGAGCTTGGTATTATCCATAATATTTTGATGGCCTAAACTGAGTAGAATAACCATAAATGAAAGAAGCAGTGCAATGAAATGCAGTTTGATTAGTAATAAGATCTCTTAAACTTCAACAGGCATTCCAACATCACCACTATTACTTTTTAACTTGGGTTTTCTTTTTAAAATCCCACCCAACATAAAGTATGGTTAATGTAATTCTAAAAGAAAATTATTTTTTTTTACGGGAAGACTTAGTTGATGGGGTATAACAGACTCTCCATCAGAATGTTCCATATACTGTGGATACCTGTAAGGGAAAAATAATGTTTCATGAATATCTATCAGACTGCTTTGTTGCCTAATATCAGAGCAAGAGAAACTTCACAAGTACAGTCTTGCTTGATCCTGAAATCAAAACAGAACATCCCTCATAGTGTAACATGCTATTTTTCTTATTATTTATCATTTTATCGTAAAAGACTTGGGCATCTCTTGAAACAGCAAGGAAATCTCAGGAAGCCCTGAGATTTTTCTAGTTACAGTCGAGTTCCTCTCATGTTCCAGTGAAATCCTTGAAAAGGGGCTGGAGCTGGGTGATCCTTAAGGTCCCTTCCAGCCCAAACCATTCTGTGATTCTGTGTAAGTGGCAGTGAATCCTCTCATGGGTCTCAGAGGATAAGATCCTGGAGCTGTGTGTGGAGCAGGCTCTGTTCTGTTAGACTGGAACTGACCATGACTCCAGAGGCTGTGAGTGGATGCCCAGGGATCAGGGTGAGGATGTCAGGTGTGTGGTGATCCTCTTCCAGTGTAACCTCTCACCCTTTGAGGACCTCCAGAACCAGCAGTGATGCCTTTAGAGCACTGAACATGAGCTTATATAAATTTCCTTCAATTAAAACTAAATGGAGATGAATGGTCTTGGTCTCTAGTAAAAAAAAAAAGACAGTGAAGAAAGGCTATGACAAGAACAAAAATCAAAAATTATTTTTCAGGTGAGGACTAAAAGTTTTCAGTGGAGGTCTGACTATTTTGCAAAGGGATTCTAAAACTCATCCCTGATGTATCTGAAAGATTCTCAGAAAAGACATGTATGTTCTACTTATTTTTCTTTTTATCCTCATTTTATTTTAATGACTAGGGAAAATGGGAAGAATGCAAAAAAGTGAATGCCCTCTTTGATCTGTGTTGTTCCTGAGCATAATCTGGTAACCTGGCAGGCATCAGGCAGGAGTGGAATTGCTGCCCATAAGTAGGAAGGAACTTCAGCCCCTTTGCAAGCAGTTTCTCAGTGTGGTTGTTGGTTTGAGGAAAGCAACAGCTGGAAGAGCCCTGTCCCCCTGCAGAACAGGGGAGCTGGGCCCACTGTGGGGCTGTTCACCTGCTGCTTGCATCATGGGGATTATTCTTTTCATCAGGAATAACCTGAAATCATAAGGACTTCCACCCACATCTGAAAAGCACACAATGAAGGATTCACCCTAAAAAAGGTGCAGCCACAGCGCTGGGTTCTCTCCAGAGGGACTGTGACAGGAGTAACCTCCAGAAGCCATCTCCCAAGGTGGGACACAGAGCCACAGGCTGGATGAGGTGGAGAACAGAAAGTGGAGGCACTGACTTCATCTGGGACTGAGATCTGTTCCTGGACATGGAGGCCATAGGAGTATTTTGAGGGTATGTATTTAAAATACAAGTGGAAGAGCTGGACAGGGTTATTGGAGAGGGAAGGGTGATCTTGGTTGTGTTAGAATTGAACAATAGAACTGTTGAAAGGCAGCAAAAGGATTAAGGCTTCAAGAGTGGGTGATTCTTTGTACCTCTAAATTATTTTAATGTGCTTTAAAATGATGCCTGACCACATGTTATGATCATTCTGTACAACACACATCTCCTCTGCTCTGCAGGACACCAGGAAGAAGGGTTTGCTCTGGAATCTGCCCTGACCATGGCTCCTCCAGTCCTTTCAGACCTGGGCTATGTCCCCCCCGATGGTGGATGGGGCTGGGCAGTGGTGTTCGGAGCCTCCATCTCAATTGGGTTTGCATTTACCTTTCCTAAAGCTTTTACAATCTACTTTAAAGAGATCCAGGCTGTTTTCAACATCTCCTACAGCCAGATTGCCTGGACAACATCCATCATGTGTGCTACCACCTACGGAGGAGGTAAGTGAAGCAAGGCTGTGTCTTCCTTTGGAAAGAGAATATCTCATCTCTACACCAAAAGGGGAGAATGTATTTCCTTGAGAAATTCCTGGAAAGTGCTAATTCTAGGTCTGGCTTTCTGTTTTCATCAGAAGTGAGAAAACTGAGAAAACTAGTAGTGCTGAGTTTTTTATTGCCAACATATATGAAGTCATCAATTATTTTTTTCATCAGAAATCCTTGCTATGCATGGGAGAGGGAAGGTTTGGAATTATGTGAGTCTGGGCAGTTATTTCAGTATACTTGGTCTTTTGTTCTGTTCCTATTCTTGTCTCTCCTTTTGAAACCAAAATGTGCAACTTGTACTCATGATTGCAAGAAGCCACTGAAACTCAAACCCCAAGATTTGCTGACGTACAGACATGGAATATGTGCATGTATATCTTGAGACAGCATTTAAATATATTTTTCCCTAAATCTGTTGCTAAAATCTTGCTTCAAATAAATAAGGGGTGATGTTTTAGACTTTTCTCTGCAGAATCTTCCTAAAAGAACAAATACATTCACCAGTTTCTTCAAATTAAAATGCTCACTGGGTCCCTGTACCTTTGGATGCAAAAGTTGCTGTTGTGGGAAGGTATTTACTATCCTTATAACAAAATAATCAAATGGGTGTTCCCTGGGGGATGTCTCCAGGTTATCAGTCTGCTACTTTGATCTGAGTAGCTGGTTAATCTTGCTGTTAATGGTTAGTAGAGATCATCTGGTTTAGGCTGCTGATGCCTGTGAGGTGCAGTTATTCCTGGGCTCTTAGCAGATCCTGGAGGTTCTGAGCTGGTTTTGCAAGGGTGAAAGGTAAAAGGATTAACTCTTAAGAACACAAGAATAGCCACCCAAGTGTGAGCAGCCTCACATCTACCCAAACCTGTATTCTTCCTAAAAAAAGTCACTGACACTCTTTGGGGCAGATTATTACAAAAAAATTTGTAGAGGGAGGGATCTTCTTGGTACCCTCTTGCCTTCAGGACAGGGTGGTTTGGAGGCTTCCTGGGTCCCTCATTGCAAGGATCAGGGATACACCCTGTGTACAGAAGGGACACTGTCACAGTACACCGTGTACTTTAGGAACTGGTTTTACATGGCAATAAATAAAGGAGTTGGTGTGGGATGGATTAAGGTGGAAGGAGATGTGTGTGACCAGAGAGGTGTGAGGGATGAGCTGCTTGCAGAAAGAGCCTTTTCAGGTCTGGCTGGAGTGGATCAGACCATCAGTGAGGCAGATTCCCTGGGCTCTTTGGGCTGTACTCTCTACTGCAGATGGACAGAAGGGTTCACTTCCAGGGGGAATAAATCAGCTGCTCTACTGAACACTGACTTCCCCATGAAACAATGGCTGTGTATCCTCTGGCTGCTGTTTGGCTCTGGTGGTTTTGTGTCAGGAGCTGAGAAGGGCTGACAGAGGGAGAGACTGAAGAGAGATTCATTTAGAGGTTCATTTCCTTAGGGTGGCTGCTCAGGGCCTCTGGAAGCTGGATGTCTGACACCGAGCACCAGACACTGAACATGTCTCAGAGTGGTTGGGATTTCTGGCTTTTTATTCTCCACAATCCCTGAGCGAGGGCCCTTGACATCTGGATGGAAAGAGAGAACAGCAAGGGAACTTCTGGCTACAGTATTGATGGAGAAAGAAGCTATTACTGTACCAGACTTGTGGCTTCACCACTGATCTTCCCATCTTTAAATCCAGACTTTTATGACACCATCTTGCTGCAGAGCTGTTATTATAAACTACAGCTGTGTGTGCAAGTGCCTGAGTTTCCCAGATGTCACCTGTAACAGAAGGAAGGGTGCAGCACAAGCAGGAAAACTTGAGATGCTGTGAATCACGTTGACTTTCCTTTTCAGCACTGCATTTATATTCACTCAGACTTTGGGCCAAGAACTCAGTGCTGGTAGGGGGTCCTGTCCCTTTCACAAACATCTCTGTTCATTGCTCCAAGAGCACCTTTCCTCTCTGAGGGTTTGTCCCCCAGACAGTACCTGTTGCTTTTCACCTCACTCAGCTTTTAAATCACTGCAGCATCTGAAATAGATCTTGGAAAAATATAAACCTGAAGGAAAAATCCCTGTGTACTCTTCTAGAATTAAGGAAGATCAAGTGTCTCATCTGTTTTTGCACATGATTCATAATTCTGAACATTTCCCTGTCATGTTCTCATCTTTCAGTTTTGCTGCCAGTAACTGGTGCTGACATCTCATAGATCTGAAAGCAGCAGCATGCTAATAGTAATAGAAGAGGGAATGGCAATAATAACAGATTTAGGAGTTTCATCTCGGGGAATAAATACCTTTGAGTGCATAAATAATTGAATACTCAGTTTGATCTACCTTTCAGCTATAGCAGCATAAGCCTACAGCAATTCTGTGGCATCCAGTGAAGCTGCATGCTGTGTTTGAGGAAGGAGGAAAGCACCACCAAAGCCTGCCCAGAGTGGTTGAAGTTTTTGGGTAAAGCCTGGACTGCACTGAAGTCATCAGGCATCTTGCCATCACCTTTAGCGGAGCCAGGATTTCATCTTTCAGCTGCTGAGTTTGACCTGCTGAATGGTAGCACTAGAAGCCTGGCAAATTTCAGCCTCAAGCATTTTGGGAAGGGGGGGCTTCACCCAGAGGTCTTCAGGAATGGGAAGTAGTGGAGTGCCCTGTAAACGTTACCTGGATCCCCCTTTGAAGCATGTCTTACAAGGAGTCATTTCTGTGGAACTTGGGGGGCTCTTGGGAAGGTCAGTCTGTAAGCCTGGGATCACAGCAGGCTGGAGTAAACACTACACTTGGACCAAAAAACCTCCTCCTTCTGTTCTTGTGGGGTAACAGGGATGTACAGTGTCAGAAGTTCAGCAAGTTCCTCAAGAACTCTCTGTGTCAGACCTTGGAAGTTAATGCTTGATCTTCTGGACAATGGTCAGCCAGAAGGGCAAAGCAGCACAGAGAATTCAGGCCCAGGAGCCTGGCTGAGTTTATCCCCAGCAATCCTGTGTGTTGCATCACGCCCTGTTAAGGGCACAGGGATGTTACACACAGCTCTCTGCACCCTGTGATGTGTGATCTCAGCTCCTGCCAGCTTTATTTCTGTCTCTTGTTTCCATATCCCAGCTTTTTACTGAATCTCAAGGGTAATGAAGAACTTCCTGGCTTTCCTCCACCCCACCAGGAGGAGCTGGTTGTGTTCCAAGGAGCTGCAGACTTGGTCCTGTTGTCCTGCTTCTCACCTGCTCTCTCTCAGTGCCCAGAGCCTCGCTGGTGACAAGCATTGTGTGGTGCCAGCTGAGACTGCTCGGAACACTCCTTGTCCTTGAAGCAGATCAAAGGTGTTCTACAAACATGCAGCAAACAGCAGCCCTAAACACTGCAGCCCTGGAGAGAGATTTCCTGGGGAAACTCATGTCTAGAGGAGATACCTTGTGGAGTTACAATCATTTGTCACAATTTTATTTGGTGGGCAGCCAAAACCCATACCAAAGCCCCAGCTGCTTCTTGATGCTATTTTTCTGTACTTATAATTGAATACCTCTCCATTATCTTAAAACTTGTGTGAGGTGGGGTTAATTTTTTTGGAACTTGCCTGCATTATGTAATGGCTAGGAGTACTATGATCTGCAAACAGTGGTGTTCCAGAGATTACTTGGAAACTGCTGTGACATCCCCCTGTCCCCAGGGCACTGACCCTCAGCTGAGGCTCAGTCAACATTGTGTGGGTTTGTGCTGCTCTGGAGTGGGAATCACTCCTCATGGTGATCCTGTAACATCTCTCCTCTCTCAAACATCATGAGGGTTTAATGAGGTCTAAAGCTCTCCAGCTTGATGAAGTACTCTTGAGGCAGCTGATCCTTTTCCTGCCCTGTTGACAGCTGCTTGAGAGTTTACTTGGAAGTGAGCTGGAGACAGCAGAGGGTTTTCTGGACCCAGATGTGCCACAGCTGCTGAGGGCCATGCCTTGGAGATGGTGCCTGTGGAGGGGCCAGATGTGTCACAATTCATCAGATTAGTTTTGGCACTCTTGACTGCAGATCTTTGCTAACCTGGTTCCTCTTCACTGAAGGGAATAAGGGAACCCTCACAATATTTCCACCATAAATCACAGACAGGCTAGGTGGGTAAGACAGGCTGGGATAAGTTTGGTACCACACTGATTCTACTTTGGCAACACTACAGAGTCTTTATTCATTATGTGCTTACCTCGACCAAAAATGTATGGACTCGTTATCCTGTAGTAAAACCTCACAGCACAAGGCTTGAGCCTGGAGCTGGAGAGCCACAGGGTGGGGAAGGCAGAGGTTTCCCTCTGCACACACTGTCACCAGTGGAGTCCCCTTTACTTTCAGTACAAATGAAAGAGTGACCTGCTGTGCTCTGGCTAATGTGTAATTACACCTTCAACACAACCTCCTGCCCTCCTGTTTGTTTGCCTGTCTTTGTGTGCACAATCTTAAATGCCTTTAGGCTCTGCATTCAGCAGTGTTTGGAAAAAACCACAGTATTTCTCCTCATTTTCAGCCATTTAGGACTTGCCATTACCAGATTTCTACCATAAAAGTTAATAGCTAAATTCTTGATGCATCTCTGAGCTCTTCAACCATGTTGTTTTTTTCCTTTCTATGCAGTCATTTTCCAAATATAACAGAGGAAGATCCTTCTGGGATTAAAATGTAAATGAGACAAAGATGCAATAGCAAAAGACTAATTTGTTTTAATTCCCCAGTGAAAACATTCCAGTTATTAGATCTAGATTAATTGTCACCATCTTTTTACCATCAAGAATGTTTTGGTTTGAGCTGCTGATTAAACTCCTGCAACAAGGGGAAAAACAGAAGAAGTGATGTTACTGCTTGGTTTATTCTATTTTCTCCAGGAAACCATCACATCCTGCAGAGATGCTTCATGCACCTAGCTGATGGTTTGATGGCACAGACACAGGGTTGGGGCTGTCTGAGAGGTTTCCTGGCTCTGGAGAAGCTTATTTC